ATGCCATGATGTTGAAATGATTGCACATTTGACGCACCTGGAAAGGAAATGCGAACATTTCAAATCTCCATTTCACGAGCATCGAAAAACAAATAATCCTCGGCATTAAGAGCATCGAAAAACAAACGACAAAACCCCCCTCCCACACGCGCACCAACATGAAAATCACTCACATTTATCTCAATTTAATTCACACGTGCCTTATCTTGAAACTAGAAACTTGAAGGCACAATCAGGCCACTCTCAAACTTACACAAACAGCCAAATTAATCAAAACCATGATTCAGGATTCCAATTTCAAGAAACATTCAAATTTGACCAACATTCCCTTAAAAAATACTGTAGTTCCATATTTGTATTCTGCTTACAAAATTGAAAATTCCAACAACTGCAACAATTCGAATCAAGATTCAAGTTTGCTTTCGCCGCGAACGATGAGTTTCGGAGAAAACTAAATCTTTCAATTTCGGGAATATTCGATAACTGTGCACAAAAAAAATACTTACGACACAGACGCCGTAGAACAGGTGATACAGCGTAACAACGGCGGCAGTTAGCTGCAACATAACGTACTCAATCTCCACGGACTGAGGCACAAGTGCAACAACAAATGCTCCCAGCATCAAGGGCACAAGCGTTATGTTGAACGTGTTGCACCTCGTCCCACACATTTGATGAACAATGAGTCGACACTAAAAGAAAATTAATAAAAAATTATAGTGTACCTTATTTACACGAAAACCAAACGCGTCTTCAATTTTAAACCTCAGAGGAAACACGATGGGGGAAAAATTTCTAAACATTTCAAGAAATTTATGTGCGCGTTATACTTGATTCTCAAGGAAAATGTTGGACCAATTTTGACAGGAAAAATTGTTTAACCGAAAAATTGAAAATTGAACTGATGTAAAAGTTAAAATTCTTGCGCCTCTTATTTTGAAATACTGTACACTGCAATTTTTTAGTTAACAAAAATAGTTTGCACGTTTTCATTGGGGATTAGATTTCATCAAAATTTTAGGCTGAAAAAGTCTGGGTGGTACTTGAATAAAGCAGGTAGTACTCCATTTCAATCCATAATTTTTCCAAGAAAAGTCTTTCCTCGAACTCATTAACCTTGAAAAGGCATTGAAAAAAAGACTACCGGAAAGTAACATGGATTTCGAAATTTTAAAATTGCAAGTGTTTCTACTCGATGAAACATAAACAACTTACAGAAATATTTGAGAAAATCGTTCCAGTGAGAAAATAAAAGAGTCTCGGGTGTGTTTCCACCACGGAGATTCGTGATGTAGCCGCCCACAGCATGGAGAATGCAAATTGCATCACAAGCGGGACTAGGGGACGCATTGCCTCATAAAAACTTCTCATTTTGCCCGTTCGATCACGGTAAGANGGAACCCACATACATCAACAGTTCAAATAGCCCACCGGCTGGAACTGCTTGACCAGCAATCGGAACTTCGAATTTCCAAATCCCGTGTCCGGCCACAAAGGTTAAAAAGAAGACGATCATGGATGACTGAAAAAAAAAGCAACAGAAAAAAACGCATTATTTGAAGATAGACCAAGATTCACAGTTGAATACAATGTAAGACGCGTCATAGGACAGTAAAATCTCGATACTACAAAATTTTCAGTACAATAAAATGTTTCTCAAATCCTGGCAGCAAGTCCATAGAGTACATGTTCAAACAATATTTTTTTAACAAACTTGCCAACGCCAGTATCAACCAACTTTTTTGAGGAATGTTTAATAATTTATCCAGTTTGAAATTTCCTGACTGAAATTTCTGATCCCATTCTTGTCCCATGAATGGAAGCTGTTATCAATAACAAGCATATTTATAAGCGGTTCCACAAATCATCCTCCTAGAATGAAGATTGGTACATCAGTAGAACTATTTTTTTCCAGAAGATCGCTCAGCTTTACAAACAATGGAAAAAATTTGAGAATGCCAGAAAAGCAAGATCCGCTTGAATATATGCAGGGCAAACATGCACATTTTTTCCAGTCATTTATTTTTAAAATCTCTTTACAACAGATTATTCTGTATAAAAAATATTTTCTGAACTCCCCACAGTTCGTCATAAAGAGATTCAACTGTATTCCCAAGCGCTCCATTAAAATAGGGAGGGGGTTTGGATGCGGGAGTTTTGGTTGTGCCTTGTGAACGCTGAAAAGCGGCAAATAAAGTTTTCTGTTCATTCATTCATAAAATAGGCCATGGGGGTGGCAAACACGTATCCGAAAATACACTCACCACCATAGAGTAGTCATAACCCCAGGGAAGAAACAAACAGCCTGTATTGTACTTCTCCCAATGGGAAAGAAAGAAGCACGCAAACACGTTCCACAAGCAAAAATACATCCTCCATGGCGAAATGCTGAAGTCACTGCGTCCGAAGACGGAGTAGAGACAGGTTGGGATGAATACCGTTGTCCATGAATCCAGTCCATGGTCAAATAATTCTCCTAAGGGTCCACTGGTTTTTGTTCTTCTCGCTTGCTTACCGTCGATACCATCTTAACATTGTAAAACACAATCTAAATTTACTGTATGTGAAGCTCCGTCTTTCAAATAATTACGCAAAATGCGCATTTAAATCATGCCAGTTTCCACCTTTGCAAGTTTAACACACTAGTCAGAGCTTTTGATACAATGTAAATGGGAGCATTTCAAACCAATGCGATGAAGCACGAGGTTTGTTCCAGGTTGACGCAACCTTTGATATACAGTACGTGCGATTTAAAAAAAAAAATCATGGCATAGCCCGTGATGTTTTGAAGTTCTCGGGTTTTTTTTTCCAAGTTTTTTCTTGCGTTTTTCAATTTACTGAACGATGAAACGTGTCCATATACCATATACAGCCAGAGTTCTGCACACATGTCACAGGGTGCTAAAATTTGTCAGGTCAGCTGAAAATGTCAAAAATGGTATCTAAAGATGATGGGCAAAACAGCAAACACGTCAATTTTTGCTGCTTGATAATTGATATTGATGATTATGATAGATAATTATTGATAATTGATAGATTGGTAATTGATGATTTTGATATTTGATAATGATCAATAATGCTGATTGATCCAGTTGTTTCATAATTGGTAATGATTGATAATTAATAATGATTGATAATTTATTATATTTTTAATTTTTATAATTGATAAATTACAATTCTGAAACAATAATGATTAAAACAGTAGAAATTCCAATTTTTTCAGCAAGCCTGACAAATTTTAGCACCCTGTGACATGGGTGGAGAAATCCAGCTGTAACTGGAAAGTTTTCACTCCTCATCAAGCAGAAAATTGATACCTTTTTTTAAATTGTTCATGAAAAAATCCCAGAACCATCGAACATTTTTGTTTTTCAATCTGGAAAAAATTCCAAAACCTTAAAACATCGTGGGCTACATCACGATTTTTTTTACGATCACACCAACTTTGAAAATATCAGGAGTCGCGTCAATCTGAGACAACCCTTGTGTATTACAACACAATAAAAAATAGGCATTGTGAGGGAATGATCATTCCATCAAACAGAGATCTCGAATGAGAACTCACCAAGAGTGTGGGCTAAGAAAACGTTGATAGCCACTATTAACCATATCCACTTCGGAACCGGTGGAAATTGCGGATGGTCGTCACTCGAAGCGAAGAAGTCATTGT